ATTGCTGATATCGGAGAACGAATATTTTCTATGAAATTTTCTCGGATATTCAGGCCGGTAAATGTTATTAATATAGTTTATTATAAAACAGCATTTACTTCAATATTTGTATCTATAAAAAGAATGCATAAACATAAAAATAAAATAATTGTCGGACTTTGTCCATTTCATAATATTATATATATATATATATTTATATATATCCGATGTGATGAGAGCGAAAGTAATATATAAATTCCAACGCTCACAGCATTAATCTAAAAGAGGGCTCGATATCGATAGTAGATCGATAATTTTGGAAACTCAAGGAAGAAGGAAAAGCATCAAAGGTTAAAAGGAAAATCCTAAGACAAGCCAGAACCTGCAATTCTCTGAACAAACCTTGCTTCTTATGTCTACAGGAGAAAATATGTATCATTGAACTTTTGAAAAACACCCAAATATTAAACCAAAGGTATGAAACCACCGTTTTTTGTAGACATACTAAAGATCTAACAGTACAATCTAGTTAAATTCTGAATTCCATAACTATAAACGCTTTAAAATTATAAATACACCTCCTTTGATATATTCTCTACCCTCTTATGTACCTCTCCATTAATTAGATTATGATTCTTTTTTTGTCATATATATTACTGGTAATATTTTCAAATAAATTGTTTTACACCCATACTTATTCTATACGCTATACTGTTCAGGAATAGATCAAAATTTGATTATAAAAAGTTATATTAGTATCATTATTTTTTTAGAGGAAATAACCGCTTCTAAATTTTAATTCACAAAACAATTTTATTTATTACAGAATTAGTAGTGATAGCATAAATATATGCAATTCAGCTCTAGAATTTTTATAGTAAGCCAAAAATAGTATTCCCAATTTCTACTAAAACTATCGCTAGAATTTTACCTCCTCCAGTGTATCTCTGTCTCCTATCTCGACCTCTCCTCACCTACCTTTCACTCTTAGGACGCTTGTGAGATGATGTGCCTAAACATTTGACCGGTGTTTATCGACAAGAAAAATTTCCACAGACCAGCGAACATTAAACACCCAATCCATTCTTCTCTAACCTGCTATCAACAAGCACTATTGTTTCACTCCGTCACCATTTTTTTTTTGTTTATGTATATTTTTCTTCTCAAACAAATGGAAAAAGGAAGCGACGTTTCACATACGGCTTGCCTACAAGCAGGATTGTTCATAAGCATTTTCGATTCTCACCCGTCGAAGTGCAGTTGAAATGCACTGAAACCAAGATGCATCTTTGTAGTGAGTAAAATGGTTTTGTCTATATGAGAAAATTATAATATATATATATATATATATATATAATGTCAGGATGTGTGTGTGTGTGTGTATAACGAATGCACGACCGCAATTTTCGACGGATTTGCACCAAAATCTACATGCACATGCTCCAAGTTAGTGGGAAGGCCAAGACCGACTTTGCATTTCCCAACTCCCATCGATAGTGAAAATAATCGATTTTTTCATGCTTCTACGACAGTTTTCATGAAGTTTGAGGCCATTTTCTACTGGCCAGAGTGAGAGCCTATAGATGACTGCCACGAATAGGCAGGAAGATTCTATTGGCCAGCGTGAGAGCCAACAGCTGACTGACACGAATGTTAACTAGCATGCTAGCACGCAAAAAAAAAATCGATAGCTGCATTCGTCACAAGTGGGAAAAATTTAAATCTGCATGGCACTTTACTCTAATTGGCTCATTCGCTCAACGATGATTCTGATTCCGCGGAACTGGGTTGGGTGTGAAAAAGTATTTGTTGTTAACATTCTTTTTTCATTCGGTTTTTTTCATTTACGAGTCCTTTTTTTAAAGCTGATCGTTTCGTGTTCATTTTGTTTAGTTCTTTTTTCGTAACAGATTTAATGTTTAGTATAGAACTTAGAAAAAATTCGCAGTGTGAGATAGGCAAGAAGTAAGGCATGTAGCAACATCAGCACGGCAAAGGGCACTCCTTTAAAGGCAAGGAAGGGCAAAAATATTTTAAGTCAAGTGATACAGATTGGTGTATGAGTCTTTTTAATCAAAGCACGGGAAAAGCCGGGCCGTACTGCTAGTATATATATATATATATATATATATATATATATATATTAGGTTGTCACACATGAAACGATGCATTTTGGGGATGGTTGTTGATCCGTTCGTTTAACAAAGTAACCTTCTTAGTATATGAAAAAATCTTGACTTATTCATGGCTCTTTTTCGTTCCAGATCATTTTTCTTTCAATATATTGTTATTCATCAGCCCAGTGTTGAGTAATTTTACTGTATAAATACAAATTATCAAAAAGAACCATTTTTGCATGAAATCATTACAGGCAATGAAAACTGCATACTCTTTGTTTTGTGATGCCAATAAACATTCGTTTGACACTCTTCTGATACCAACGAATACTCGTTGTCACTTTCGTAATCCTCGCTGTAGTAGAGACTTTGTAATTGCAGATAATACTATATTAAACCCGTTTAACAATACTGCTGCAGATACAACTATAGTAACGCCGTTGAACAATACTGTAGTCTGACGCCTTCGAATAACAGTTACTTAATTAGTACTTACTCGATAATACCCGCTCGAATAGTAATCACTGTACTGATACGAATAGAGAATATTGAAGAGAAGAGAATAAAGAATAGCGTTACTTCATAGCAGTAGCCTATCGTCTTTAATGAAACGTTTGTGATGTCAACAAACATTCATTGACATTTTTGTGATGTCAATGAATACTCGTTGTCACTTTCGTAATGCTTGTTGTAGTAGAGACTTTGTAATCGCAGATACAACTATAGTAACGCTGTTGAACAATACTGATGTCAGACGCCTTCGAATAGCACTCGCTCTGATAGTACTTGCTCGATAATACTCGCTCGAATAGGAACCATTGTGATCCGAATAGAAAAAATAGTATAGTGAATAGATTAGAGAAATACCGATCAATCTAGACGTCACGCGACTTCCTATATATATATATATATATATATATATATATATATATATATATATATATGCGTTTCCTTTTATGGTCACGTAATCTACTTAATTCAATAATGGGGTCGCCTGTGTTTGCCCACTGGCGATCTATGTTCAAACTCGAGTATCAGCAGCGACACTTTATTCCTATATAACACTTTGACAACAGTAAGAGAGTAGGCTAGTGGTTAGGTACAAGTGAATCACCAAAACAATACCCAAAACCTCTGTCTCCACCCTAAAAAAAAATTAATGGTTACTGTATGGTGGTCTTTCAAAGGGGTTATTCATTATTCATGCTTGCCTCAAGAGAAAACAATGACAGCAAACCCGTATTGGGAAGAAATTGAATGTATGCACGACAAATTGAAAAAGAAAATATCCGAGACATTTGAATAGGGATGATCCAATTTTGCTGCTCGATAACTCACGGCTGCACGCTTCTTAATCAACTGTCTAAAAGCTGCATGACGTGTTTTATGAAATTTTGCTTCACCTTATATCTCTGCTACTGATTATCTCTTATTTAAGCATTTTGAGCTTTTCATACGCAATAAAAACAGTCTCCAAGAAGGAAGAGGTAATCGAAAGAATTTAGACATATATTGGGGAATAGTCATTCATCAACATGGTGCCTACTTCCATTTCAATACCCAAAACCTCCACTGCGTCCTAAAATGTTTACTGTATGGTGGTCTTTCAAAGGAGTTATTCATTATTCATTCTTGCCTCAAGGAAAAACAATAACAGCAATCTCATATTGTGGAGAAATTGAGTGTATGCATGAAAAATTGAAAAAGAAACATCCTAAAGTTGGTGATTCATTGTGGAATTCACTTGGCTCACTTCTAGCAGTTGACTACTTCTTCTACGCGCCGCTGGCGAATCTTATATGTGTTGTTCTTGTCCTAAGTATTATCGTTCATTACCAAAGTAAACTCCTTAGTATATAAAAAATCTTGACTTATTTCTGACTTTTTCTTTCCAGATAATTTTTATTCCAATATATTGTGACTCATAAGCCCAATGAAAATGATTACAATTAAACAATGTCAAGTAATCTTACTGTATGAACACAAACTGGAAAAAGAAGCATTTTTGCATTGAATCATTACAGGCTATTAGAAATGGATACTCTTTGACAACAGTAAGAAAGTAGGTTACTGGTTAGATGCAAGTGAATCACCAAAACAATACCAAAAACCTCCACTGCATCCTAAAAAGTTAATGTTTACTGTATGGTGGTCTTTCAAAGGAGTTATTCATTATTCATTCTTGCCTCAAGGAAAAACAATAACAGCAATCTCATATTGTGGAGAAATTGAGTGTATGCATGAAAAATTGAAAAAGAAACATCCTAAACTTGTGAATAGGGATGGTCCAATTTTGTTACACAGCTGCATGCTTCTTAATCAACTGTCCAAAAGCTGTATAGCCTGAATTATGAAATTTTACCTCATCCTCCATATTCACCTGATATCCCTCCAAATGATTATCACTTATTTAAGCATTTTGAGCTTTTCATATGTAATAAAACATTCTCCAATAAGGAAGAAGTAATTGAAGCATTTGAACTGTTTATCACATCAAAGGATGAGAATTTTTTTAAAGATGGGATCAAGAATTTAGTTGAAGTCATTCACCAACATGGTGCCTATTTCAACTAAATTAATTAGTCATTTAACATTTCAGAAGTATTTTATTCATTTCCTATAAAGTGCATCATTTCATGTGTGATATGCTAATATATAAAAAAATATATTTTTCTCAAGAAACAAATGACATTTTCTTTTAGAAAAATATTTGTTTATGTGGTTTGATAAGGTAAATTTCATTCAACTAACTTGGAACATTTTATATTTCTGTTTTCACAATAAGGTTATGATAGTAAATGATTTTATTAAACCTTTCCTCCTGATAGGATCAAATGAATTCATTAATATGAAAAATTGTTTGCAAAAAGTCAGAATGAAAAGTTTAATAAGATAAAAGCTTACAATAATCTTTTCTTTGGCTCTTTCTGTCGGAGTTCTTTCATCCTCACTACTACTTTCTTCTTCTGAACTTTCCTCACTGCTTTCATCATCTTCATCATCATCATCTTCGTCATCATCATCATCTTCATCATCAGATTCTTTACTCTCATCATCATCGTCATCCTTCACTTTGCTGTCAGCTTCTAAGTAACAAAAATCAATATTCTTTTAGTTGTAAAATGTATTGAAAATTAACAAACATATAATACCCTCCCCAACAATCTGATTGAACTGTTGTTATAGCATACCAATGGACGATAATGGGTATGTCCCCATCCCTATAAATACAGTAGTGAATACTGTATGTTGGTCGGCAGTTGGATATTTGTCTCCAGATGGGATCAAGAATTTAGAGATACAATATAGAGCAGTCATTCATCAACATTTCCTACAAAGTGCGTCATTTCATATGTGACAAAGTAATATATATATATATATATATATATATATATATATAAAGACAGTTTTATGTTTATATATTCTTTTTATGGGTTCAAGTGTTTAAGTAAATGCACTGTTTATAATAAACAGTACTAATAATATTTACCGGCCTGAATATCCGAGGAATTTTCATAGAAAATATTCGTCCTCCTATACGGAATCGTTATATAGCCTGACGTGCCTTAACCGATTGAGCCACGGAGGATCTTTCAATTAGCAAGGTCGATTTTACTGCTTTTAAACTACAATCTTCCATGAATCTCTCACGTTCATTCATATCTGCTCAATGCGTATCCGAATGTAAACAAATGACGTCACACATTATGATATGAACAAAGTCCGACAATTAGTTAAGCCATTTTTATCTTTATTCATTCTTTTTAAAGATACAAATATTTAAGTAAAATGCTCTGTTTATAATAAACAGTATTAATAACATTTACGGACCTGAATCTATTATAAACAGAGCATTTACTTAAATATTTGTATCTCTCAAAAGTATATATAAACATAAAAATGTCTTAAAATAATATAAAAAAAAATATATATATATATAACATAGTAAGTTGTATGGATATGAGTTTGTGACCTTGGGTTTCACGCTTTTGCGGTCATCAGTGAAACCCTGTGACACAAATTCATATCCATACAAGTTTATGTATGTATATATATATATGTCTATATTTCTGAGATGAGGTATCATGTATAGTATTTACATTAGTCGGACTATTGTCCTCATCTTTGTCGCCATATTTGTCACAACGTTTCGGCCGTTGTACGCTCCGGCCTTCTTCAGGTGGTTGGAATTTTGAACTGAACCCTTTATTTCGCTCACTGGGGTAGACTGTTCTAGTTCCACGTGCCATGTTTGATGGATGTCAGTTATCAGTTATCACCTGCTAATTTTCCCTCTGAAAGTTCTCCACTGCCTTAACCAAAAAAATCTCCTGAGCCGACCAAGCATAGAAATAAATACAATATGGGAACCAGTAATAAGAAGTGCCAGAGAAAAGCAATGATAACAAAGTTGCAATATGAACTCTGGTAAAGACATGCAATGATAACAGCAAAAAATTGCAATATGAGCACTGGTAAAAATGATGCTGAAAACATTAGGTTTATAATACTCAGAAGTTCATACCCAGATGTCCTCAAGGACACATGGCACAGTGGATAACAGTTGGTTAGATCCAGTGACAGACCCAAAGAAGGTGAGTTCAATTCCTGGTTAAGGCAGTGGAGAACTTTCAGAGGGAAATTAGCAGGAGATAACTGATAACTGACATCCATCACAGATGGCACGTGGAACTAGAACAGTCTACCCCAGTGATCGAAATAAAGGGTTCAGTTCAAAATTCCAACCACCGGAAGAAGGCCGGAGCGTACAACGGCCGAAACGTTGTGACAAATATGGCGACGAAGATGAGGACAATAGTTCGACTAATGTAAATAGTGTATATATATATATATATATATATATATATATATATATGTGTGTGAAATATAAGATTTCATTCCTTTTTGTTTATGTATACGCGTCTTTATAATGTTCGCAGGAAAACATTTTGATCGTGAAAAGGAGACCCAGCATTTCCCGCCAAATCTCCATAGCCAGGCGCATAGTGATTTTCTGTAGCGTCAGGCAAGGTAAACGTCAAAGAAAAGGGAATTACATCCACACGGAAAAATAGTTCCATCCGGGCACTCAAGTACGAGGCGGGGTTGGGAAACGGCGGTAAGCGGGGTGGTCGGGGAGATCAGTATTGTTGCAACGTACTTCCGGAATTTGAAGCTGTCGGCTTACCAGAAAAGAAAAGTGCATCGGGCTGGTGATCTTTGACGGTTGCATTTCTCGTCGGAGAATCGATATCACGGTTTGCAAAAATGACATTTCGATCAATCTTGCTATTTGCTTGACCATTCGAAGAATCTGACACAAAAACCATTAAGAATCGTGCCTTGTAGAAGCAGGATAAAACTCTTCGAACGGAATCTTTTCGTTCGTGGGAAATTGGACGACCAAACAGCTAAAGCAAAAAAACACTACCGAAGGTCAAAAATGGTAAGTCTGAGTGGTCTCTGTGAATTTCTTTGTCGATGAGGAATCATCATTGCATACTTATTGATTCAAATTGATATCCTAAAGTCGGGTCTCACTGTCATAATAGATGGTTTCTCCTGAAAAACTGACATCATTTAAAATGTGATTGGTTTGGTTTGTTTTACAGCATATCAACCTCAATGGGTTATTTAATGCCGACAAGATCTTTATTGCTGATAACTTTTTTTTTTTCAAAAATGTATTTCTGGTAATAATTTTTCTTCAGAAATTTATTGCTGGTAATAATGTTTAAAAAAAAATTTCCGGTATGAGTACCTATTTTTATACTTTCATAGTGTTTTGACTCCAGTTTGGAGAGTTAACTATTTGCCTATAGCTGGGACCCTAACAGGCGCTACCACACCAGGTTAGGGTGGACATGGGATCACCAGAAATTAAGAGTTGGTTTCACGCTCCTCAAAACCTCCTGATCCTGTTAATATTTTTCCTAAAAATGTATTCTAAGAATCTGAGACAAAGACCATTAAGAGTCGTGTCTTGTAGAAGCAGAATAAGACTCTTCAAGCGGAATATTTTCGTTCGAGGGAAATTGGTCAACCAAATGGTTAGAGCAATAGAAAGCGAAAGTCAAAAATGGTCATTCTGAGCGGTCTCTTTGAATTTACAAGGGGGTGGTTAGTTCAGGACGAGGCACTGGACAAACAGCAAATAAAATGGGAAAGAGTCTGGTGAAATGGATTGACTGTTGTTAGGGATAGGGTGTGGCAGTGAAAAGAAACAAAGCATAATTATTAAATATAGGTAATTGAGACACGAATTTACCTTATTATTATTATTATTATTATTGTTGTTGTTGTTCTTTTATGTATCTTGTTCTTTCAGTTTCTGGTTTGGTTTGTTTTACGGCCTATCAACCTCAATGGATTATTTAATACACACAAGATTTTTTATTGTTGGTAATATTTTTTGTTGGAAATTTATTACTGGTAATACTTTTCTTCCCAAAAAATATTGCTGGTATTAAAACCTATTTTTATACTTTCATAGTGTTTGGACCACTTTTGCAGAGGGTAACTATTTGCCCATAGCTGGGACCCTGACAGGTGCTACCACCCCGCTTAATTGCTGTTGTTCCTAAGTCCACCCTGACTTGGGGTGGTAGAAGCTGTTAGGGTCTCAACTATGGGCAAATAGTGAACCATCAAACTGGATTCAAAACGCTATGAGTGGTTTATTTGATGCCAACAAGATTTTTATTGCTGGTAATATTTTTCCAAAAAAGTATTCTAAAACCCATTAAGAGTTGTGCCTTGTAGAAGCAGGATAAGTCTCTTCGAACGGAATCTTTTCGGTTGAGGGTAATTGGTCAACCAAATAGAGCAAGAGAACATTAGCGAAGGTCAAAAACGGTAAGTCTCAGCGGTCTCTGTGAATTTCTTTGTGGATGAAGAATCATCATTGCATACTTATTGATTCAAAATGATATTCTAAAATCGGCTCTCATTAGCGAAGAGAGAGTGTTTCCCGAAAAACTGACACCATTTAAAATTTGAAGTAACGTTTTCTTTTATGTGCCATGTCCTTTCAGGCCGTAGGCGATCATGGCACTCCACCTCCTTCTATCCCTTGTAGCTCTAAACAAGTTCCTTCCCTCTGCTTCCTCCCCCAGACCATGTTCTGTTATCCACTCGCCAGGTATGTCATGCGTTTCTTTCCCTTGTCTCTTTTCCCTTCTATTCGACCTGTGAGTATCAGATTCTCCAGACCCTCCTTCCTCATTATGCGTCCCAGAAACTTCAACTCTCTCGTCCTGATGTTTATCAACTTCTTCCTAGTTTGCATCCTTATCGTTGTTCACACGCTCGCTCCAAGATATCCTCAGCATCCTTCTGCAGAACCACATCTCCGTCGCATCGAGTCTCTTCTTCATCTTTGAGGAAATCGTCCAACATTCGCTGTCGTAGACAACGTAACAATCTGAGTAACTACATGTCCAAACGAAGTTAAATAGGCTTCGTGTTAAATATTAAAACATGTATTTATCAAAATTCAAACAGGATTTTTTTTAAGCATTTTACCCTAAGGAAGGCTGGAGTGCCACTAGTGCACAAAGGGAAACAGGGAGTGAAAGCATGAGTAAAGAGGGTTGTTTGAGGAAAGCATATAGAGATAGACGGGATTCGGTATCAAGGCATCAGAAGATATTGATTGACATTACATATGTATATTTGAAGATTATAGACATCAGGAAAACAAGTAAGAGGAAGGGAGTTCCACTGTCGGGAAGTGCAAGAGAAGAAGCTGTTGGAGTAGAAGAGGCGGTTATATTTAACAAGGCCGTAACAAATGGTTATGCGCCATCACCATCGGAATCGAAATGTTTGAAACCACCAGATGCGAGAAGCTAGAAGTCAAACGACAAGAGAGAAAGGCTGGACAAAATCAACCTCGTCCTCAACCAACATTACCATGCAGTCAGTGCCATCGGCTCTTCCATGCAAGAACTGGTCTACTTAGTCATCAACGCCATCATCACAAAGGAAGCGATCAGCAAAAAAGAAATGAAATTTTTGGATACGAGATAAAAGCATATGATGATTTTCCGTTATTGGTAACCACCAGATGAGAGAAGGATGAAGTCAAACGACAAGATAGAATGACTCGACAAAATCAACATCATTATTCACCAAAATTAACATATAGTTAGTGCCATTGGCTCTTCTATACAAAAGTTGGTCTATTTAGACACTAACGCCATCGACATAAAGTAAGCGATCAGAAAAGAAGACATTAATTTCTTGGATACGATATAAAGCCGACGACCACAACAATTATACACTGGCGGTGTTCCATCACCATCGGAACCAATAAAAACATGAGAAAAAGAGGTCCATTGGCTAGAGAGAAATACTTGACAACCTGGTCCTCAACCAACATTACCATGCAGTCAGTGCCATCGGCTCTTCCATGCAAGAACTGGTCTACTTAGTCATCAACGCCATCATCACAAAGGAAGCGATCAGCAAAAAAGAAATGAAATTCTTGGATACGAGATAAAAGCATACGATGATTTCCAGTTATTGGAAACCACCAGATGAGAGAACCAAGAAGTCAAACGACAAGAGAGAATGACTCGACAAAATCAACATCGTCCTTCACCAACATTACCATACAGTTAGTGCCATTTGCTCTTCCATGCAAAAATTTGTCCACTTCGTCATCAACACCATCATTCTGGGATACGAGATAAAAGCATGCGATGATTTCCAGTTATAATAATATATAATATTAATGGAGGATCGGTTTTATTAAAACTGGTTTCCGGTCGTTTAATTTATTTCCCCTTCTTTTTCGATATTAACATCGGGGTGGGGAGGTTTGGCACCAAACCATACATGGCAACAGTATTCAAATTAAATACGAATGGTAGATTTGTAGATTTGGAGGATGGACACAGGCGAGACAAACCTTCTGGCCTCACACAGAGAACCAACTTTCCTTGCGATAGATGAAGCTATAGATTCAATGTAGTTCTTCCACATAAGGTCAGTGAAAAGCGTGGGACCAAGCAGGCACAGGGGGATGCCCTCATGGATCTGGACATCAGCCATTCTATGGGGGGTAAATGAGTACAGTTTCGTTTTGGAGGAATTGAATCTTACAAGCCCCCAGTCACCCACAGTAGGGGGGTCTTTTTCGAGACCCTTGACCTGGTTATTTTTGTCAGCAATGCCGGATTTAATATTGATACAAGAGTAAATAGTAGTGTCGTCCACGCAGATGTCAAGTTGAACATCAGGAAGATCGTGTAGGACCCAGGATAGAGCCTTGGGGAACACCAGCGTTCGTATGAAAGGAACTGGAGGGCAACCCGTTTAGGGCGACCTTTATTTCACGGTTTGACATAATTGTTGTATTAAGTTAAATAAGTAATATTAATAATAATAATAAGTATACGTGTAACAATTTTATGGGACTTTAAAATATACAAAGCTTAATATTGATACAGGAATATTCAAATGGATGTAGATTTCGTAACCAATTTCACAAAGCTTCACAAATATTCAATATGCACAACACTTATGACAGGACACACGTCAAGTCGGTAGTCCAGCTCTTGCCAAACACGCTATAGCATGTCTTTAAAGATATACAATGGCAATAATTTAGCCATCGCATCCTGTATGAATATATTTATTAGAATGTTTTTATTTTCCAAACACGGTCAGCACATCGTGACCGTGTTCATAATTGTTATTATGGAGTGTTGGGTTTTTCTTTCCATTTATACTGCTTCCATTATTTTTTTTTACATATGGATGAGGCTATTATATTTGTATTATCAACGAGTATGTTATGGATAGAGTTTTGGAGGTTTTCATCTGTATATACCGTGTGTGACAGCAACATTGTCCAACTTGTGTAACATCTAAACTGTCCAGTTGTTAGATCAAGATTTGAAGGGTTGTATCTCAGAAATGATTAAAGATATTTTACTGGAATTCTCCGAGGTTTTTATAACACTTGGTCACTACATTAAACAATAAGAAGGTATAATTACTCGCCAAGATTAACAGAAGAATCGTGATGAAACCGATCATGAGGGAAAATGAAATGTTCATCAAATATCGGAAGCTCATGAAGCATTGAAATAAAGTTCATACATACATATATATATATATATATATATGTGTGTGTGTGTGTGTGTGTGTGTGTGTGTGCGCATATATTGTTGAAGCTTGGATAAGCATGGAATAATAATAATACAACACAAAATGTACGTAAAC